GGTGAAATGTTCGGCTCCGCCCGAACTTACGACTTTTTAACTTCTTTGAATTTACCGTTATTCAGCTTAAAACAATGTGGTTCCACTTAATCAGGTATGTAATACGAAATACGGCGGATGAAAGCTAACGAAATTTCAATAGGCCTGATAGTTTCTGAGAAATTAATGAATCATTCCAGACTTTCTGTTTTTTTTTTTTTGTTGAAAACAAAATCTAGCTTTATAGGGAAGTAATTAAAAAAATAGCAGACTCTGTGTAAATTTTTTGCATTTGTGTTAAAGCCTGTTTTAACTATTACAAACAAATTAAGCTACCAATAAGTTACTCATACGCCATGTACATCTGGTCATATTCCACACAAAAAAAATCGTTGCGCATTTTCATTTCACCACTAATTCGTTTCTTATTTACCCATCGATTTTCTTCATTGGTTGCATAATTTTTTTGTAAAGGAACATTATTTATTTACAAACAAGCTCCAATGATATTTAAAGTAAGAACTTTATAAGTGGTCAACTTTGTAAACATCAGGACATTAGGCGGGAAATGAAAAATCAGTCAATACACTTCAATTGGAGCCTTAAACCAAGATAAGTTCCGACGTTTTGTCACCGTACTATCGCTTAAAAAACTTGAACATATCGCAACAGTAAAATATTATTTTAAAGGTTTTCACCTTAGTAGATCCTAGGTCCAAGAAAAAGCTCTCTTGGACCCTACATTCGGCTTTTGATAAGCGAGCCTCCCCTGAACCGTACCGAGCATCGAAATTCTATGGTACTGCGAAATATTATTTTTTGTCAGATCCAAATTACTTGAGTACTTGATTATTTTCTACAACATAAATACCAAAATACCTTTTCTACTGAATACTTGGTCTTTATAGTAAATACAATTTCGCCCATCATAAGAATAATATGCAAGAGTATGGTAAAAAGTAAACAACATGGATTAAATTTGATATACATTTTTTACTTTTATTTGGTCATAATAATTTGAAGATATAAATTCGTGTTTATAGTACTATATACTATATATATTGTATATACATATAATTATATACATACGTCAAATACATATGTAATACTTCTAACGGGTGATTTTTTTGAGGTTAGGATTTTCATGCATTAGTATTTG